TTAAATCATGTTCTATGTAAATTCTTTCTTCTCCCAGATTCTTTTTATTCCTCATTATGGATTGTTTGTTCTCCCAGCTGTCTATCTCTGCTACTATTATTCCTTTTCCCACGTTCCTTGCCCAAATTATTTCCCCTTTTGCTCCCACCTTTTCTCTTACAAATTTCCCTAGCTCCGCTTTTATATCTTGTTCTTTTAGCTTTGACCCTTTTATTATAATATTGTTCTTTTTTTCTAATTTTTCTTTTCTCTGTATATACTCCATCATGTATCTCACGTCTTTTCCCTTCGTTTCCTCTCCATTTCCCCTTCTTCCATTACTCATATCCCCTTTACATTCTACTGCTCTTTTACATTCTTCCCTTACCTTGTTATTTATATGTTCTTTCAGCCTTTCAATCTCTATTTTCCATTCCTCTTTTCCAGTCTTTTCTTTTTCCTCTTTTCTTCTTATTTCCTCTTTTATTTCTTGTAGTTCTTCCTTATATCTCTCATGTAAATCCTGCGTCAACTCTTGTATCTCCTTTCTCATTGTCTTATTTTCTGCTATTAGTTCTTTTACCGCTTTAACTAGGTCGCCTATCAATTTTCCTTCACCATCCTTAGATTCTTCTTGTCTTGCTTTAATCTCACTCTGATTCTCCTCCCTTTCTGTGCTTCCATTCTTCTCTTCCTGTTTTCTCTTGTCTTTCTCTTCTCCATATGATGTCTCCCTGAACATGGATCCCACGTCTTGGGTTCCTTTCTCAGGTTTTTTCCACAGTGTTTCCGCCTTCCCCGGCCTACCCCTTTTAATTGCAGCCTCTCCTGTTTTTCCTATCTCTTTCTTATCTTCCATGTTTCTTCTGTTTTCTATTCCTCTTTTACCGCTCATTGTATCCATTTCCACCTCGCATTCTAAGTAAATTGCTTTTTTTTTCCTTTTTGTGAATCATTCAATTTTTTTGAAAAATATGCTACTGGCTTTTCTTTACCATTGTTTTGTATCTGTTTAAATATTCCACCAATGCCTTCTAGTGATGCATCTGTGTAAATTCTTATTGGCAAATTCTTATCAAATATTTCCAACACTGGTTGAGAACACAACTTTTTTATATCTGTAAAAGATTTTTCGCACTCTTCAGACCATATAAATTTCTCATTTTTTCGTAATAGTTTGTGTAATGGGTCTAATAGTATTGAGCTTTTCTGTGTATACTCATGATAGAAGTTTATTTTTCCGAGAAAGTGTCTAATATTCTTTTGGGTTTTCGGAGTGGGAAAATTTTGTATTGAGATTAGATTATCTTTCACTGGTCTTACTGTATTGTGTTCTATTATCTGTCCGAGATATTTCACTGATTCTGTTGCAAATGTACATTTTTTTAATTTTAGTCTGAAACCTTCATTTATTATTGCTTTTATTACTTTTTCTATATGTTCTATATGTTCTTTGAATGATTCTGAAAAAATTAAGATGTCGTCTATGTAATTCTTTGAAAAGTCTTTTAAATTGTGCTTTCTTAAGATATTGGATAAAATTCTCTGGAAGATAGCTTCTCTGGTGATGTTTTTAGCCCGAACGGTAGGCACGTCCATTGGAAGTGCCCCTCTTGTGTAACGAATCCTGTTTTCTGTCTATCTTCAATGCGTAGTGGAGTTGACCAAAAAGCGGAATTTATATTTAGTGAGGTGAAATATTTACAGTTTCTTGTTTTTATTATTAAATCTTCTATTAATGGGAATGGTTGAGCTTGCGGTATAACTATTTTGTTCAATTCGCGAAAATCTATACACAATCTTGATCGTTTGTTTTCATCTCTTTTGAATGCAAGAGTTACTGGTGCTGCAAACGGGCTATAGGATTCTTCAATTAACTTATTTTCTAGTAATTTTGCCACTTGATTTTCTATTTCTTTTTTATCCTCTATGGTGCATCTATATGGCCTCTTACTACAATATTTACCAACCAGTAAGTCTATTCGAGCTTCGTAGACTGAAATGGTGCCTACATCATATTTATTTTTTGCGAATATGATGTTATACTTTTCTATAAGTTTTTTATCTTTATTTTATTTATACCGTCCAAGTGATCTAGATCCATTCTAAATTCGTCTTCATTCACATGTTCGTTAAAATTAACTTTAACTTCTTTTATTTCTTCATCCTTATCCGATGTATTTATATTTCTTTTTCTATCTGTGTTTCTTTCTTTTGAGATATTTGTAAATTTTCATCCTGAATTAGTTTGAATTTCTTTATTATGTCTAAGCCAATAACAAAAACTTTAAAATCGTTTCTTTCCACAATGAATACGTCAATGTGTTCCTCTTTCTCAACAATTTTTACTTTAATGGTTACTAAACCTTTTGTTTGTGTCACACCATTGACTGTTTTTAAAAATATTTTATTTATATCTTCTGTCTTTTTTTTTATTTTGACTATTTTTGAATTTATTAGAGAGACTTGGGAACCTGGATCATATGTTCCGTTTACCTCTAACTTCTCTTCTAATAGTATTTTTACTTTAATCAATGGTGTGATCATTCGTTTTTTTATTCTGTATTTAGATCCACTTCTATCACTGAATTGCTTCCAATTACTCTGGTTTCATTTCCATTTTTCTTTTTAAACCAGCATGAATCCTCTGGATGATATCTAATACCTTTGTTCAATTTTTCACAGTTTTTACATGGCTTTTTCACTTCAAATTTCTTCTTATTGTTTTGTCTTTCCTCTTTCTTTTTTATAAAACTGTTCTTACTCACTAGATTTTCACATTTTCTAATTTCGTGTAGTAATCCGGTTGAACTTTCACAATTTTCTCTATCTATTTTGTTTCTAACAAATTCAGGTAATCCTGCTGCTATCAGCATCATCAGAGTCTTTGTACCAATATCATTATCCATATCTAGCAATAACTTCTCTTTTCTCATAGCATATTCCATCAATGAACCTTCTTTATACCTATAGAATACAGCATATATTCCTGTACTCCATCCTTTGTCTGCAAATGACTCCAAGAATTTCTTTTTCCATTCAGATCGTCCAGCCTCCATTGTCAACGTTGTTAGTGTTGCTGAGTGCCAGTCTAAACATGCCTTGTCCAGGAATAATCTCAGTATCTCAATCTTCATGTTATCTTCACTCATTTAAAATCTTCTACATTCCTTCTCAAATGACTCCAACCATTGTTTTGCATTTGAGTGTTTACATACAAATTTTTCAACCATAAATGTTTCTGCTATGTTTTTTAAATTTATTTGGTTTCCTTTCTTCTGTATGGGTTCTACTACACTTGCTTCCACTATCTGTTCTAGATACAAATCGTTAAATATTATATTACCATCTTGATCGAAATAAATATTGTCCATTTCCTTTGTGCATGTAATCCATATTATCCTTTCTTGGCCTCTTTGATTGAAGCTTTTTTTCACTCTTTTATAGTTCTCTGTTTTTGTCAATTCGCTATGGTTACTTACAAACTTTTCAGCTTCTGGCAACACATACTTCTTATTGTCCTCTGTTATAATAGAGGTTATGGCAACTACACTTGTCTTTTTGTTGCTTGGTGATGCCACATATTTAAATGCGAATTGCAGTTTTCTTGCCATTATAAACAAGAATTGTCGTTTTATAAGACAATTATTATTCAGGATGATGAAGTAAACGAAAATATGTTTCTATGTAAACAAAGAAACGACAATTAAAGTTTACTATTATCACTTCTCTGCCTACACTACTAATTTTGTTTATAACTTTTAATCTTTGTATTTTGCACGTGTGCCCTATTGCGTAATAACTATATCTCTCTCCTTAATTCTTCTGTAGCGTTGAGGGACGCTAGGGATATTACGTCCCGGCCACTGCAGCGCGGAGGTTAAATAATACTACCACGTGTATGGAACAAAGACTTTATTGTCTACGAGTACGTGTATGTGCTGTAGCGACAGTGGACAAGATGGATCTCTGGCACGCAGGCGGCAACGCGATGCACGCGCCTCTTTCTCCTTGCGGGAGAAGGAGACACTACGGAGGGAGAGAGACGGCAGTATCCGCTCCCTACACACTACCCCCCGAGTGTATACACTACTTAGATAGGCACGCGTGTTGTCGAAAGTATAATAGCATATGCTATGATACAATATCTTAATGAAATAAAACAATATGAAACGCTACTTATCGCTAATTAACAAAACACACGATGTAATAAAACTAAATATACAATATAACACGCTGCTTATTGCTAATTAAACAAAACACACGATATAGTATGCTGTACAAATGAGTACTAAAATAACGCAGGCACTAAAACTAAGTTAGGGCACTGACGAGTGCGCACCGGGCGCGAACGTGACTCCTCTGCGCGAGTACGTTCTTAAATTAAGCGATCTCGACGTCGCGGACGAATCGTTGCTCGCGGGCACGCTTACATCATCGAAATTATCCGGGACGAAATGCGCGGGTTTTAATGACTCGACGGAGACACTCCTGGCGGAACCGTTGACGTCAATATTAAAGACGCGATCGGACACGCGCTGCAAAATCCTGTGCGGATCTGAATAAGGTCTCTCGAGTGCCTTTTTTGCCACGTTTCGCACGAAGACATGCGAACAATTGTGGAGTTCTTTGAAGTAGAACCACGTTTCGCATGCTTGTGCGCTACGGGCACCGGACGAACCCGACGCATGTACTCGCGGAATTCCTCGATGAAGAAATTTGGGTCGGGTGAAATATCTTCCGGAAGGAAGAACTCACCGGGAAGGCGCAAGGTGGTGCCGAACAGAAATTCTGCGGGGGACGCACCAGTGTCCACTCGCACATGGGATCTGAGACCCAGTAAAACTGTGGGGAGAACTCGCGATCAGCTTGCATCTGCATGGCACATGATTGCGGCTTTAAAAACGCGATGCCATCTCTCAATTATGCCGTTTGACGCGGGGGGATACGCCGTCGTACGAATACGGCTGCACCCCATTAACGACAGGAGTGCCAAAAACAGACGGGATTCGAAATGAGCACCCTGGTCGGTAGTTATGACCTTGGGTGCATCATATCGTGAAATCCAGGTGTCGTAGAACGCCCTGGCTACCGTCTGGGCCGTAATAGCTGGCAGAGGAACAGTCTCCACCCAACGAGAGAATCTGCCGATCATCGTGAGACATTACGTACATCCCTGTGACGAGGGCAGAGGCACTACAATGTCAATATGAACTTGGTCGAAACGACCATCAGGGGCGACGAAATGCTTTGGAGTTTGACGGACATGACGCGAGATCTTGGATTGCTGGCACGCGGCACAGTTCTTGCACCAAGATGCAATATCTCGATGCATATCCGGCCAGACATATCTCTGACGAATCATGCGGTCAGTGATCTTACCGCTAGGGTGGGCGGGATCATGAAAGGTGTGGAAGACTCTTTCGCGAAGGCTCGCCGGAATATACGGACGAATCGCTTCGCCAGAAATCTCACAGAAAACTGGATCTTGCTCTGGCCCCCACAGGAAGCTCTTCAATTTCAACGAATGATCCGAAGCATCGCGAATCAGCTGGAGCGGAGTGTCAGAGCTTTGCAATCTTGCAAGCTCGACGAGGGCGAATTCTAAAGGAAGACAAACAGCGTCAATCCTCGAAGGGGAATCGGCGACGGTGTTCTCCGTGTCTGCCACATGTTCAATACGCATAGTAAATTGCGCGATGAATGAAAGCTGGCGCAGCTGCCGAGGAGAAGCCTTATCGGACTGCTGCATAAAGGCATACACTAAGGGTTTGTGGTCAGTGGCCACCCTAAAGACGCGACCCTCGAGGAAGTGACGGAAGTACTTCTGGCCTCGTATATGACGCACTGTATTTCCTTTGCGCCGAAGAGAATTTCCCGCGAAAAGAATGCGAGGGGTTCCCACGAATCTGAAGAACGCTGTTCGAGAGCCGCTCCCATAGCGAAATCTGAAGCGTCCGTAACGACACGCAAATCTACGCCTACACGTGGATGCACCAGTAACGCTGCGCTGACAAGGTCTGATTTTATCTTTTCAAACGCATGCACCGCATCAGAGGACCAAACAATTTCGCGTTTGTCATTCTTCCGAGAATCGGTGAGAAACGCGTTCAACGGGGCCTGTGATTGTGCTGCGTTGGGAAGGTTTCGGCGATAAAAATTCGTCATCCCCCGAAAACGTCGAAGCTGCGCGATGGTTTATGGCTGGGAAAAATTGGTGATCGCGTCAACCTTTTTCGTCGTGGGCCGAATGCCCGCACTCTTGATCGAATATCCGAGGAATTCGAGTTCAGAGGCGCCGAACACACATTTGTCGGCATTCAAACGGAGGTGAAATTCCTTGAGCCTCCGAAACACAGCGCGTAAGTGCTTTCCATGATTCTCTAAGGATTCGGAAACAACAAGAATGTCGTCTATGTAGACGAAGACGAAATCTAAGTCACCCAACGCCCGATTAATGTAACGCTGAAATGACTGGCTGGCGTTCCTGAGCTCGAATGTCATAAACAGGTACTCGAACAAGCCGAACGGCGTAGTCACCGAAGTCTTCTCGGCATCTTCCGGAGCCATAGGAATTTGGTTATAGGCCTTGTGCAAATCGAGAGACGAAAAGACCTTTTTTCCATGAAGGTTGACAGAACAATCATGGAGATAGGGAGTCGGATATTTATCCGGCGTAGTTACCGCATTAAGGCGGCGGTAATCGCCATAGACTCGCCAGGAACCGTCCTTCTTAGGAACAAGATGGATCGGGCTCGCCCAAGGGCTGCGAGACGGGCGACAGATGCCGGCCGCAACCAAAGCTTGAAATTCGGCTTTGGCTGCACAGAGTTTCTCCGGGGAGAGACGCCTAGCGCGCTCCGCAACTGGAGGACCAGAGGTGAAAATGTGATGTACCACATTATGACCCTCCGGGGGCGTTAAAGGGGAAGAACCCGTAATCTCCGGGAAATCGACTAGGATTTCCGCGCACCTGGAACCAGGATTGACCGTATGCACTGAATGAATCAGTGCCGGTCTGACAACTGCAATGGAGTAGACCTGCGTCAAGGAATCGGTGAGGCGACGCCCTCGAAGGTTGACTACCAATCTATAGTGACGCAG